GGTGGGAAGGGGGCATGGGGGTGGGGGATAGGCAGAGGAAGAAGAGGAGATTGGATTTATACCCTCCCCTTCACTACCTGAAGGAGTCTCAGAGTGGCTTACAATCTCCTTCCCTTCCTCTCTCCACAACAGACACCCTGTGAGGTAGGTGGGGCTGAGAGAGCTCTTTCAGGAACTGCTCATGAGAGAACAACTCTGAGAGAACTTGTGACTGACCAAAGGCCACACCAGCAGCTGCATGTGTAGGACTGAGGAATCAAACCTGGTTCTCCCAGATTAGAGTCTGCGCTCCTAACCACTACACCAAACTGGGTGCCTCCCAAAATGTGGAGTTAGGCCTGCAGACTAAACTCCAGGCATCATATCATGGTGGCTGTTTTGTCTCTGATGGCCATCATTGAAAGCTGATGTATGTGGAGGGATTCTCATCTGGAGCTGGATGCCAGCATGGAGGAAGAGTGTTTTCTAACTTCCCTCTGAACAAACAGTTTACAGCAGTCTCACGGTATGCATTTTGTTTTTTGTTTTTTTAATCCCCTGAAGGCAGGCCGATTGGGGCAAGAAAGAGCGCCTCAATTCTCCGGCTTCGAGCCATCGAAGAGGTCGCCCTCCAAGCGCCCCCGGCTTGGAGCCTCCTTACTGAGACTCACCTGGGGGTGCCACTTGAGGCGGCACCCCTCCAACACCCCTGGAGCGCGGAATGCTTCCCCCGTTCAGGAGAGAGCCTCCGCCATCGCTGAAGCTACAGACCGGAAGTCTCACGGTATGCATTTTGGAAAGTTGAGCTGGCAGTAGAGGGGAACAGAAGCAAGCATCCAGACGTAGTGTTTGTCGAGCAGAGCCACCCATCGAGTATCCTGAGTACTTAAGTCAATTCCACAGCAAAAGCCAGAAGACTCACTTCAGTTTTCCACTCTTTTTAGACCAGGCAAAACTGGTTTCAGCTCGTACCCCCAGTGAGACTTTAAGGCTCATTCCACCTGCTTCTGTGCCGAGGGTTTTTAACACTGACGTCAGTAATGCATCAATGCCCACCTTGTTTCCCATTGCAAGGGAGGGGCTATGGCTCACTGGTAGAGCACCTGCTTGGCATGCAGGTACAATCCCTGACAGCCCCAGTTGAAAGGACCAGACAGCCGGTGATGGGAAAGACCTCCGCCTGAGCCCCTGGAGAGCTGCTGCCAGTCTGAGTGGACAGTAGTGACCTTGAGGGACCAAGGGTCTGAGACAGCATGGCAGCCTCATGTGCACATGCATGAAAATAATGCAGGTTACACCAGCACTTAAAGGGATCATCTCATTTTACTTAACAAGGGTAGCATTACAAAATACAATAACATTTAAGCACACAGTCCTGTACCCAGAATTCAGGGAGTCCCAAGTTCCAGTCCTGCCTCCGCTATACAGCTTAACCTTTAAAAGAGAAGCTTTCTGGGCATGTGGGCTGTGGTTTTTGTGTATGGCAGTGGTGTCACCATCAATGTTCCCTCTAAGCTGTGGGGTCTTGTGAGCGAAAATCCTACTTTGTGAGCTACCGGCCTTAAAGTGGTGAGCGAGCGATTTGGCTGCTGCATAAATTTGTTTGCTCTGGAGCCCTCCTTCCTGAGCGAAGACAAAAATGTGTGAGCCGGAGGCTAAAAATCTGTGAGCTAGCTCACACTAACTCAGCTTAGAGGGAACACTGGTCACCATTATCATTCAAAAATATCATTTGGATGGATTTGGTAACATCCTAAGAAGAACCTTGCTGGATTGGGCCAAAGGTACCTCTGGGCCAGCTTACTGTCTCTAACAGTGCTTCTGGGAACGCCTGTCCAGGCATAGACAAGCCCTGTTTTGTGTTGTCTCCTTTGTATCTGCTTTTCAGAAGCACGCTGCCTCTGTACATGGAGGTTCCATTAAGCTGTCATGACTGAGAGCCTTTTGGTAGACCTTTCTTCAGTGCTAGCTCACACTAACTCAGCTTAGAGGGAACACTGGTCACTATTATCATTCAAAAATATCATTTGGATGGATTTGGTAACATCCTAAGAAGAACCTTGCTGGATTGGGCCAAAGGTACCTCTGGTCCAGCTTACTGTCTCTAACAGTGCTTCTGGGAAGACCTGTCCAGGCATAGACAAGCCTTGTTTCGTGTTGTCTCCTTTGCATCTGCTTTTCAGAAGCACACTGCCTCTGTACATGGAGGTTCCATTAAGCTGTCATGACTGAGAGCCTTTTGGTAGACCTTTCTTCAGTGCATTTCTGCCTAATTCCCTGTAGACAATGGCCATCCATTACAACACCTTCTGGCAATGAAGTCTGTAAATGAATTAAGTGTCGTTTGCAGAATGGCTTTCTCTTGTCTGTTGTGTATTGCCAAGCTGTTTCATTTGATTGAAAATGTAATTGCCATTTTATTACACCTTTTTTAAAGGGAAAAAATAGGGCCAAGGCAAGTTATAAACTAGCAATGCAAACCCAATGAAAAAATAATGAAATGTTGGTGTACTAGTACGTCAGATTATACCAACAGTGTTCTGAAAGATGGAAATCTTCAAAAGATTGGCAAAAGAAGCCTAGAAAGGGGAGGTTGTTTCACACATGCAGGAGAATATGGTAGATAATTCCACTATCTCACTGAACCGCATTGTTTTGGACTGCAGTTGGAGAATACCAATTACTTTACCTGCTTCAAAAAGTTCCTGCAAATCGAAAATCAGTTCATCCAGCAAAGATGGGGGAATAGAACCTGTTGTGCTAGCTTTCTGTTTGCAGGGTATTTATTTATTTAAAACATTTATTAGCCATCTTTCTCCCTTGTGGAACTCAAAGTGGCTTACAACATAAATAGAACATCATTTAACACACAATAAAAACGACAAAAACCTGATTAAAACTCATTAATTTAAAAACTCCAATTTAGGACTGCCAATAAAAACGAAATCAGTCAAATGCAGTCCTAAATAAAACAGTCTTCAACTGAAGAGCGATAATGAGGGGGCCAGGTGACCTCCCTAGGGAGTTGGTTCTATAATCGTGAGGCTATCGCCTGAAAGTCTCCGTCTTGTTCTATCCACCAAACAAGCATCTTTAATTGATGGGACACTCAGGAGAACATCTTCCTGTGATCTTCTGGGCTGGAATGTATGGGAGAAGACGGTCTTTTTACTGTGAAGGATTGTTCAGAACTAAATCCACAGAACTAAATCTGTTCAGAACTATATCTGAAGGAGTGCATTCCCTTCTGCCGCATCAGGGCTTGGCCTCCACATTCTACTGGTATGCAAGGAAGTTCCAGCTCAGATCTTTATGTAGCAGCCTCTTTAAGGAAAGAAAAAGGGGAAAAAATAAGTAAGACAAGTGGAAAACCTACTTGGAGCCTTGTTTCTTTAAATGCTATGGGGAAGCCTAGCGACTTGGAGAAGGAGGTGTGATGGACTGTACTTTTTAAGAGGCTTGAAAGTGCTGTACACAAAACTAAAGGATTGTGAAGGGTTAATTCTTTACAAAGCCAGAGAGCCTTGAGTGCCAGTCTGCTCTAAGCAATCTGATTGGTTAGCATCAGCTGAGGGGGGGAAGTCTTGAGAGCTGGATGCTGAGGAGAGTCAGTCAGATTCCGGCCTTAACTGAGGAGAGATGTGTACTGAGAATAGCCCTGGCAGAAAAAGAGTCTAGTGCTGACAGAGTCAGATTTCAACCTTGACTGAACACAGTCTTAATTCAGCATTAGCTGAGAGCAGTTTGAATACAGACAGAGAACTGGAGGGAAAGTTTGGCAAGGAAGTTTGTGTAGTGGAGAAGCCTCCCATTCAGGCCAAAAGGAAAGGGTCAGGGGTCATTTTGTAGAAAAAGAGCTAGGGGAACTCATTAGCATAACTCATTAGCATATGCCACACCCCCTGACATCACCGGAAGTGTGTCATAAGGCCACACACCCCGCCCCCAACGGTCCCGGCCACCGGCGGCGGCCTTGCAGCTCCACTGCCGCATGCTCGAGCATGCGCAGTACGGCTGGGGGCCGAGGTGCGGTGGCGCAAGGACGCACTGGCCAATCCCACAGCCCGCCTTGAGCCGCTCCAAGGGATACAACCACCTAGGAAGGTGGTGCTTTTTTGCTGCGCGGTATCGGCATTTGGGACGGAACAGGGACGGGCAGGCAACGATTCCCAGATGTTGCCGTGGGATCGTGCCTGTTTGCTCCGCCCCCGTTCCGTCCCGCTCCCGGCCCAAAAGGCCTCGTATGGACAAGACCGAAGATTCCCTACTCGGTCAAACAGAGAGAGTTATCTCTGAGGAGTACAGAGATCTCTGGTCTGATGTGACTAGAAACTGCCTGTAGAGATGTTAAAAGTCAGTGAACTACTCAAGAAGAGTACTGGTGTTCCAAGAGAAGGGGTTTGGATACTGGAAAGAGGGTACCAGCCTTCTGGGCACCAAAAGAGTCAGTGATTATACAAATAAAGTGTATTAGAGTGTTTGGGAAAACACTGGAACAAAAGCCTCTTCAATATAAAGATCTAAGGAACTGTGAATAATTTAGGAACCTCTTATTAGCCTGATATATAGCAACAAAAGTCTGTGCTTGTAATAGTTTCTACCTCAGTAATTTCAACCCTTGATTTCACCTGACCTTTCCCCTCAAAGTTAAATAAACCCTTTTGTTATTTTTGAATTTTAAAAATATCTCAAGTGCCATTTTCAAGGGTTTAAGTTAAAGGGCAATCCTATCCCTTCCCTCAGGTTCCTGGGCTGAGCAGATAGCCAAAATATATCTTACCGACAGGGTGGGACAGCCAAGGTTTCTTCAGGGGAGAAGAAAACACATTACTAGGGCTGCTCAGTCAGTGAAGGGACGGAAAGGGAAGGAAAATCTTGCCTCTGAGGGACAGAAGTAGACAGGGTGTGTCATAGAGGCCAATATTGGAATCCATATTTAATTTGGGAAATGTTGGGCATTTCACGCAGTGCTGTTTGGCAGCCACACTCAAGGCGTCACTTCTCCATCTCTCTCTCCACAGTGGTCTCCAGTGACAGTGAGAGCGACTCGGAGTTCAGCTCCTCAAGCCTGGATGACCGGTCCTTGCCTGCCAGGTCAAAAGCTGTCAAGATTAAAAACCGAGAAGAAACAGGTGAGAGAAAAGAGCTGGTGAGGGGGGCAAAGCAAGACGTGTTCACACGAGCACTCTGCTTCTATTGGTATCTGTCACATTTTTATCCCACCATTGCCCCGAGGACCTCAAGGCCTCATGCGTGTTTTCCCCTTCCTCCGCTTTATCCTTATGACCCTGCAAGGTCAGGCACGGAGTGAGTGACAGGCCCAAAGGCGCCAAGTGAACCGCAGGGGCACGTGGGGGTCTGAACCTGAGTCTTCCCAGCCTGACGCTCTATCTGGGTAGCATATATGGTTCTTTCCTCACAGCGGCCCTCTGAGATAGGTTTGGGGAAGAGACAGAGAAAGGGCCCAGCCAAGGTCATTCAATGAGTTTTGTGGCAGAATGGGGATTTAAACTCGGGTCTCCCAGATCCCAGTTTAACACTATGAACACCACACTTTGCCGGCTCTCTGAGTGCAATTCTGAACAGAGGTTTCTAATCTTCTTTGGATTAAAAAGGTAAAGGTTCCCTTGCTCGAAAGCTAGTCGAATCAGACTCTAGGGTTGCGGTGCTCATCTCCGTTTCAAAGCCGAAGAGCCAGCGCTGTCCGAAGACGTTTCCGTGGTCATGTGGCCGGCATGACTAAACACCAAGGCACACGGAACGCTGTTACCGTCCCACTGAAGTGGTACCTATTTATCTACTTGCAATTTCTTGCTTTCGAACTGCTAGGTTGGCAGGAGCTGGAACTAGAGATGGGAGCTCACTCCGTCATGCGGCACACTCGGGTCTCGAACTGCTGAACTACCGACTTTCCACAGCCTGCAATTCAGCGTCTTAACCACTTGAGCCACCGCAGCTCCTACCTTCTTTGGATTACTAAATCTTTATTGGATGGGAGAGGAGGTGGAAGGCATGAAAAAAAATTACTGCTGAGCAGGGGTCATTTTGTAGAAAAAGAGGTGCAGAAGCTCATTAGCATAACTCATTAGCATAACTTATTTGCATATGCCACACCCCCGACATCACTGGAAGTGTGTCAGAAGGCAACACCCACTGCTCAGGCTCCACTGGACTGTTTTGGATTGCTAGCTATTGGAGGGGGGGGGAACGTGCAGATCTGTCCTCGCAGAGGAGGGAGAGCTTGTACCTGAATAAAACTTGGTCTTAAAGGTGCCACTGAACAGTTTTGGACTGGAGGCCCTGGGGGGGGGCTCTGCAACTTACCTGGCTGCTTCTTGCTCTGACTGAGGGCTGCTGGGAGCAGGGGGCGGGGCTTGTTGCATGTGCCCTCCCCCTAGGCTCTTTACTGCCGGAGCTCTGCTCATGTGCGCTCCTGCAGGAAATGACCCCTGCTGCTGAGGGGGAAAATCCTCTGCAGACGGTTCTCTGCACATGAAAGAAAGCATGTCTAGTGTACAAAAATATGGAGGGTTTCCCACTAGCTGTTTCAGAAAACGTGCATTTAAAAAAAAGAATTCAAAAGCTTTGCAAACTTCCCGCTGCCGCCGCCACCACCACCAGTTCCCAGTTCCAGGTTTTCCAAGCCTTGTGTTTCTCCATGCCTCCTTTTTCATGCTTTCTCATGACTATCGACCCGTTTGTAATATAATAAATTGCAGAAGATTTAATCTGCTACATGTTTTGGCATTTCTTAATTCCTCTTTGATGAGTTCTTGAGTGGTTGCCTCAGTATTATAGATAGTTTTTTGTAGAATTGAGACAAATGAGTGTAATTCACATGCTCCGATGGAGGTGTTTCCTAAAATAGGTGAATTTGCAGGGCCCCCGAGTATTCTTCTCACTCCTCATTTCATGCGTCTCAATGCACTCTGGTGGTTTAGTCCCCCAAGGAGGAGCCACGGCTATTCAAAAGATGTTTCTGTTGTTTGGAGTCATAGGCTTAACCCTCATTCTGGGGGGGCTTCCACTAGGAATTCAACACTCCGGCCATTTTAAGTTCTTGTGGGTTTTTTCAAACAGCTGCTGTCATCACTCATGGCCTGCCTTCCTTTCTTTCCTTCCTCTCTTTGGTGATACTTCTGTTTCTTTGTGTCATTTATAGTCCGTCTTTCTTTCCAAGACTCAGTGTAAAAACATAAGGGAAGCCATGTTGGATCAGGCCAACGGCTCATCCAGTCCAACCCTTTTGTGTCGCACAGTGGCCAAAACCCGGGTGCCACCAGGAGGTCCAGAACTCCAGAAGCCATCCCACTGTTGCCCCCCCAAGCACCCAGAATACAGAGCATCCCTGCCTCAGACATAAGAACTTAAGAGACGCCAATGTTGGATCAGGCCACGGCCTATCCAGTCCAACACTCTGTGTCACACAGTGGCCAGAAATACCAGGTGCCATCAGGAGGTCCACCAGTGGGGCCAGGACATTAGAAGCCCTCCCACTGTTGCCCCCCCTCCAAGCACCAAGAATGCCTTATACTGCATCTGACCATCAGTCCATCGAGGCCAGTACTGTCTACTCAGACTCTCCAGGATCTCAGGCAGAGGCCTTTCACATCACCTACTACCCAATACTTTAAAAATGGAGATGCCGGGGATTGAACCTGGGACCTTCTGCATGCCACGCAGATGCTCTGCCTCTGAGCCACGGCCCCTCCCAAACGCAAAGCCCTTCATGGCCTTGGTCCATCATATTTGCAGGAGTGCCTCTCTCTCTAGGCTCCGCCATGACAGCTTCACTCATTGAAGCAGATGCCACCCTGAAAAGGGCCTGTACGCGTGGCCTTCTCTGTCGCGGCCCCCACCTGATGGAATGTCCCGCCAGAGGAGGTCAGGAAGGCTCCCACTCTCCTGGCATTTTGCATACTACGCAAAACTAATTATTTGGGGGTCTTTCGTATACAGGCAACAGGGCTGCACTGTAACAAAATGGTTCAGAATGATGCTTTGGTAAAGGGACAGAGACTATGGAATACACTAGTGTGTACAGTACTGAATGTCACTATAAGTATGATCCTGCTGTGTGATTTCCCCATCGTTAACATGTCACGTTAGTACTTATACTTTGTTTCACATCTCTGCAGTCCAAATCCTATTGCACTATTTATTGGATGTCCCACCCTGTTGATTGTAGTAGTAGAAGAAGAGATTGGATTTATACCCCACCCTTCACTCAGAGTCTCAGAGCAGCTTACAAACTTTTTTCCCTTCCCCTCCCCACAACACGCACCCTGTGAGGTAGGCGGGGCTGAGAGAGCTCTGACAGAAACGGCTCTTTTTCAAGGACAGCTCTTATCAGAACTGTGGCTTGCCCAAGGTCATCCAGCAGCTGCAAGTGGAGGAGTGGGGAATCAAACCCAGTTCTCCCAGATTAGAGTCTGCGCACTTAACCACTACATCAAACTGGCTCTGTATTGACAGAAGTCCATGAGTGGTATAGATGGAATGGAACACTCTGTCTGGGGCAGGTCCAGGTGGGGAGCCGTGTTGGTTTGAAGCAGTAGAACAAAGTTTGAGTCCAGCAGGGCACTTTTAAGACCAACAAAGTTTTATTCAAGGTATGAGCTTTCGTGTGCAGGCACCCTTCCTCAGATACAGGGAAATGGAACATGGAACTTATCAGTCCATACATATGGTCAGAGGTTGAGCCGTAAATCAGCATACTGCTCAACCTCTGCCTATATGTATGGACTGGTAAATTCCATTTCACTGTATCTGAGGAAGTGTGCGTGCACACGAAAGCTCATACCTTGAATAAAACTTTGTTGGTCTTAAAGGTGCCCCACTGGACTCAAACTATGTCTGGGGCAGTGATAGGCAGCACCTTGAACTGAACCTGGTAACTGACGGGCAGCCAATGAAGTCACTGAAGAATGGGAGTAATGCAACTATTTTTGTGAAAATGTCATCTGTACGCCATCATTTTGGAGAGGAAAATTTGGCACAAGGCAAGAAGACTGTCACAACAATAAAGACTGGGGTTCGTTTCTTGCGAGGGAGAAGCTTAATCAAAATGGAGACATCTGAATCGAAGGAAACATTTGTTATTATCATTTATTAATTTTGGCTTCTATTCCACTCTCCCCGCGAGCGGACTCAGAGCGGATAACATCAGTAAAAGTTTGATGTAGTGGTTAAGTGCACGAACTCTAATCTGGGAGAACCGAGTTTGATTCCCCACTCCTCCACTTGCGCCTGGCTGGATGGCCTTGGGCAAGCCGTAGTTCTATCGGAGCTGTCCTTGAAAAAGAGCAGTTTCTGTCAGAGCTCTCTCAGCCCCACCTACCTCCCAAGGTGTCTGTTGTGGGGAGGGGAAGGGAGAGGAGTTTGCAAGCCGCTTTGAGACTCCCTTGGGTAGTGAAGGGCGGGGTATAAATCCCATCTCCTCCTCCTCCTCCTCCTCCTCCTCCTAAATCCCATCTCCTCCTCCTCCTCCTCCTCCTCCTCCTCCTCCTCCTCCTCCTTCAAGTTAAAACATTCCACCATAGAAGTTAAAACAAAGCATAAGAATCATTCACACAATAATTAAAACAGATTAAAACAGAATTATAAATGAAACAGATGGCACGGCATTTAGTATAGCGTCTCAAAGATGGAGCCGCTAGACCATAGACCAGATTGTTGGTCTTCACTTGATGGGCCGATCGAAGATGTCAGATTCAGCAGGTTCACAAGTGGTGAAATTCCACTTCCTCCGGAACCATTGTTGGTCATGGCTGACTCTTAAAGGCAATAAATCCAAATTTTCCCACACCAGAGCTGGGAGTTCCAACCCTCTTTTTTTCCTCCAGCTGGCAGAGGTGAAGTCACCCGAACCCCGACCAGAAGCACCGGCCAGCCCCTGGGGAGCATCTTGTCGGAAAGCCAGAGCAGCTTGGGGAGTGAACGCGGCGGGGTCCTGAGCGCCACCGAAAGCTGCCCAAGCGACCTGCAGGATGAGGATAGCGATGCCAGCCGCAGCACCGCTGGTGAGTTGGGCCGTGTGTGTGTGTGCTGTAGAAGTTATGGGGTCTCTCCCTGCGAGGTTGTGGCATTTGAAGGTGTGGAAGAAAATTTGTCTTAGCCTGACTACAGGCCTGTGAAGTCTGCTGAAGTCTCCATTAGGGCTGGAGGAAGAGGTCATGCAGGCGACAAGGGAACGTGCTGTGCTGAAGAGATAACACAGTGCTGAGTATGCCCCTGAGGTAAAAAAATCCCTCATTGTTATCAATAAGCTTCTAGCCTTATCAATGCTTGCCTGGATATGAAAAGACCAGTCCAGATTAAAGCTGTACCGAATACCTAAGTATTTAAAATGCCAGACTTGTTCCGTTAGTTTTCCACATATAATCCAAGGCTCAACGTTAGTCTGCCTGAAAGTTTAAAAACAAAACCATTATTTTAGGTTTTTTTCATAATTTATATTCAAAAGTTCACGTGAACAGTATTGAATAAATATTTTATAGCTCTGTGTAATCTGAAGGGGTCCGTGCAAGTGGAACTAAATTGTCCACATATAATTAACGACGGGACTGGCATGCCAGACAGTATGGGGGCATGCACGTTTATTGCCGAAAGTACAGGTGCAAAATCATTCATATAAAGATTGAAAAGTTGTGGCGCTTCTACACAACCTTGTCTCACATCCTTATTAATAGGAACTACATCCAACAGACCAATTTGAAGTGCTGAGTGTACTAAAAGAACTCGCTTGGAGCAGCCTGTACGCCGGCTACTTAGAAAGTTAGCAGAAGTCTGTCAGGAATGGAAAATGTTACTTAGCATAAGAAGAGTCCTGCTGGGTCAGACCAGTGGTCCATCTGGTCCCGCATCCTGTCTCACACAGTAGCTAACCAGTTCCTCTCGACGGCCAACAACAGGGCTTGGAGGCCGAGGCCTTCCCCTGATGTTGCCTCCTGGCTCTGGGATTCAGAGGCTTAGTGCCTCTGAATGTGGATGTTCCCCTCAGTCACAGTGGTTAGTAGCCACTGATAGACTTATTGTCCACACATCTATCTAATCCCCTTTTAAAACTGTTTATTCCCGTGGCCACCAATATATCCTCTGGCAGCGAATTCCACATTTGAATCACTCTCTGTGTAAAGTGGTATTCCCTTTTGTCCACCCTGAACCTACTGCCCATCAGCTTCATTGGAGGCCTTCAAGTTCCAGTGTTTTGGGAGAGGGAGAAAAAATTCTCTGTGTCAAAATCAAAACCTACTTTTAGGTTTGAGTTTCGTATGCATACCTACAAGATGTACATAATGGGGTTGGATGCTGCGACTTTTTTGAGATTCTATTTTTCAGTCTCCTGCGATCCTACAATAAAGAGTTCAACAGCTTTGGAAATTATCTTAGCGTCTTCCTTCGACAAAGGCAGCTTAGAACCAAGGTCCTTCCTCGCTAGGAATGAGCGTGAAGGAGCTGGGAGGCACTGAGCTGTACAGAGGTTCACCATGGCAGATCTTTAAATTTCTGTCATGCAGATCAGGTGGGGGCAGAAAAAAATGTTTTTCCTGAGGAGTAAGTGCTGTGTGGCCACTTTCAGGGTGTGGTGGGGAAGGTCCCGAAGAAGAAGAAGAGATTGGATTTATGCCCCCGCCCTTCACTACCCAAAGGTGTCTCAGAGCGGCTTACAAACTCCTTCCCCTTCCCCTCCCCACAACAGACACCCCTGTGAGGCAGGTGGGGCTGAGAGAACTCTTGACAGAGACTGCTCTTTTTCAAGGACAGCTGTGCCAGAGCTTGTGACTGACCCAAGGTCAAATCAGCAGGTGCAAGTGGAGGAGTGGGGAATCAAACCCGGTTCTCCCAGATTAGAGTCCGCGCACTTAACCACTACACCAAAAGTGGGAACCAGAAGTGAGGGCTGCATCTTGCTTTTGTCCATCCTTCACTCTGTGGTGGAGAGTCCCCATCTGTCGCAGCCCCTCCGTTGATGTTTGCCTCGTGCCGGTTCTTAAGGTGCAAATTAGCTTGGCAAGAACAGGGAAGTTTTAACTAAAATTAAAAGGTGTGACTTTGTCCTATGGGGTGAAAATTTAGCGCGCACTGCTGTTTTGAGGGTCTTTTTTATTTAACAGAGGTGTGGAACTTTAAAAAACAAACAAACACGGGGTCTGTTTTCCCTCCAGCATCTGCATACCAACGCACCCTTGCAAAGAAGCAGTCCTCTTCTCTTTCCTTCCCCAATCAGCTTGCTTGGGAAAAACTCAGTGAAGAAAGGAGACTGCAGGAGGTTGAGAGTTTTGCTGAGTAACTTTGGGCTCCCTGGTGGCTGTGGGGGGGGCACTGCCTGGCTCCCCCAGAGCCCTGCCTTCTAACCACTGGCAGCCCTGCCCAATAAAAAAGAGGGGACAGGGGACAGCAGAAAGCCCACCCTTCAGGAGGAAGATTCCTTGCCCACTAAATCCCCCCTTTAAGCCAGACCGCCACTGGAGAGCCAGAGCAGTGTAGTGGTTGTGTCAGACTAGAATTTAAGAGACCCAGGTTTGAATCCCCACTTATGCCATGGAAGCTCGCTGGGTGACCTTGGGCCAGTCACACAGTCTCAGCCTAACCTACCTCACAGGGTTGTTGCGGAGATCAAACAGAGGAGAGGAGAACGATGCAAGCCGCACTGGGGAGAAAGGCAGGGAATAAGTCAATCAATTCAAAACCTGCCTGCCCCCACTGCTGACCAGTTCTGCTCTTCGCACCTCCCTAGGCTGGCCCGCCTCTTGTTGCTGGTGCCCGGCAGCCAGGAGCCAAAGGATGTGGCGGGACTTCCTTGACCGCGCCTCCCTGTCTGCAAAAGCCCCTCCCCTTTGTGAGGACTTTTACTAGCCCAAGGGCCACGGGCGTGAGAGAGGGACCAAGGCACCTTCCTTGGTGTGGCACTGCCGTTGCGATCGCCAGGGAAAGGAGGCGGGTGGAAAAGAGCTGTGAGCTTTTGGAGGACGCTGTCTTTGCGCGCTGCAAGCGAGCCAACTTCTTAGTCAGCCGGAAGAGCTGACTATCCCCGAGGGAGAGGATGAATCAGGCCATCTTGCCTTCTTCTCCTGATTCTCTCTCTCTCTCTCTGTGTTGAGAATTGTGTGGGGGTGGGGGTGCTGGTTTTATTGCAGAATTGTTTTAACCTGTGTCGCTACCTGCCTTAGGCATCGGTTTGGTGAGGTAGGAAGGCAGGACATAAATAAAATAAAAACATGGTCCTCCCAGGGGCACTGATCCTTTTGGCACACCCTTTCAGGACAAAAGGGACTACTTCCGTACACAACGAGTGAGTAAAATGTGGAATTTGCTGCCAGAGGATGAAGTGATGAGCACAGGCATAGACAGGGGAACAGATAGATTCATGGAAGAGAGGTCTGTCAGTGGCTACTACCTATGGTGACTAAAGGGACACTCCATGTTCAGAGGCAGTCAACCCCTGAATCCCAGTGCCAGGAGGCAACGTCAGGGGAAGGCCTCATGCCTTTGGGAGACTAAGGGTCCCTTCATCTGCAAGGGCAGCCCAAACAGCCCTGCTGACCTGGGCTAGTCCGAGTTTGGGAGCTCAGCAGGGTTGGCCGTGGCCAGTACTTGGAAGGTTGACCACCAAGGAAGACTGGGCTTGAAGTTGCCACACAGCGGAAGTCAGTGGCAAATCACCTCCACTCATCTCTTGACTGGAAAGCCCCATGGATGCATTGGGTGTGATTTGACGGCACTCGTTTCTCTTCTTCATCTGGAAGAGATGAGGCAGCTGGGAAGGGCAATCTGTATTTAGCAGTAGCAATGCATTTTAGCCGTTGTGGTCTGGAGCTTCCGGTGTTCAAGGCACTTCTCATACATTGTCGTAGCAATCCTGTCTACAGCCCTTGAAGGGAAGCTGGGAGCGCCATGTTGTAGATGGGGTGCGTCAGCTTGAAAACCCTGAGCTGTGATGCAAGGAAGTGCCTTGCCCTAAGCCAGGCCAGTCGCCTCCTCCTGGTGAGTCTCGCCCATTGGTAGCAGTTCTCAGGTTCTCAGGCCGCCTTGAGGCCGGTCAACGGGAGATGCCGGGGACTGAGCCTGGTACCCATCTAGGCCCCTGAACAATAGCAAGGGCTGATGCCTAGGGTGTGCCGACACATAAATACGCGATCAGGGTTCCGTCCCAGTGTTAACCCCCATGATGTGACAAGGGAGGCTACATCCCGTGGCTGACTCGGATTTGTCGGATTTCTCTGAGGCTGCTAAGTTCTGCAGGTAGTGCCCCGTCTTGCAGCTTTCACACGTTCCCGTGTAGCTGCGGCAGTTGCCCAGCGCTGGCTGCAGGCCCTCGTTTCCCCTCCTCCGCAGGCCTTTGCAAGCAGCTGGCTCTCCCTCCCTCCCTCCCTCCCTCTCGTTTCAGTCTCCCTCGTCCTCTCCCCCCACCACGCGCTTTCTCCTTTCCGCTCCTCTCCCGCAAGGACTTACTTCTGTAAAGCGCTAATGGACCTTGTTTTCTAACAGCAGCCGGGCTAACAATCCATAACTCTCCGCATCATTATGGCTCTTAGCAAGCTTTTAATGATTGCCGCACAGGGTCGAACGGGAATGTAGAACTGGAGCGTCATGAAAAAGATCTTTGGGAAGCGGGGCTTGGTTCCCTCTGCGCAGAAACACCTCACCAAGAAATGAGTGTGCGTGACAGAAATCGGAGATTGGAATGGTGGGACCTCTTCGCCCCCCCCTGAAATGTGCTTAATTTGCATTTTAATTCCCTGTCTTATTGAATAACGTCTGAGCAGCTTCGAAGCGGGGTGGGGAGTCATGAGGGGCCATGCTATTTCACTGCACCTTCCCATACTAGAGACTGCTAACTGATGATCTGTCAACATTTCATTAATGGCCGCTAATGCCCCAGCAGGCTAGCCTTTACCCAGAAGTAAAGTGGCAAGTGCCTGAAGCTTCGTCTCTCTGCAGGTGGAGGCTGAAAAGAATGGTTTGTGTCACTCACGTCTTTGGATGTGGAAAGCGGAGCGAGAGAGGGCAGGATTCAAGT